TTTTACATTGTGAAAATTAACCACGAAACCAAACCCCCAGGGCATGGCTTGCAACATATAATGAAAACAACGTAGACGCAAGTCAGGGAGGTGATACAGAAGGATAAAACGCTTAAAACCTGATGTTTCTCCATTGGAAGCAAGTATTTTATTGATTTTTGTCCATATATCAGAGTGTCCACACTTTCAGAACATGCCCCCTCTCCCCAGTCACACTCTCACAGGTACATTCAGGCTGATAGGTGTGACCTCACACTCCTAGAGAATATTCATATGCCAGTATGGTTATCTGTATGTAGATGAAATTCTCATACAGCCTTGGGACTTAATTCCTAAAATTGTTATGGTGGTAAAGCAAACAATTCTGTTTTATTTGTGAGAACTTTATTGTGCCCTGCAACCTCTCCCTGTGTGGGCCTTTGTAGTTGTACCCTCTCCTCATAGCTTATTCCCTTGGCTCTTTCCTGTAAGGGAATATCGAGGCCCTGGGGTCAGGCTGACCTATGTTCCAATCCTGACTCAGCTCTCACTAGTTATGTGGCTTCTGTACATCACAGCGCTTTTCTGACTCTCAAATTCCCCCCCCCATTTGTTACATGGGACTAAAAATATGGAAACCTGCACAGATGTTGTGAGAAAAGATATCTGTGAAGAGCCTCACTCAGCTGTAGATGCCCTAATTAATATTAGCATTGGACCCTTGTCCAATTGTCACCCCCCACAAGGCCATTGTCACCCCCCCCCCAAAAATCTCTGCCTTACACCTGGCAGGTTTCCCTACCTCCAGACTCTTTCCATCCAGGCTGCCCGACACTTTGAGTTGGAATTTCTGAGTTGAAAGNATTGGGGAAGGGGAACAGACAAGTTGCTGTCCTTTTGTTCTTCAGTCTAGTTGTGGAGGACGTCGCTTCACTGGCCCACGCTGATATTATCATTGTGCTCTTCCCAGGTGAGGCAGATGGGTCACCGGCCACTGGACGGCTGCTCACAGCGGCTATTGGCAGCTCAGGCCGGCTGCCAGCTGCTCAGGGTAGCTTACTGGGGCCCATTGCAGCCTACGCAGTCCCCGGCGACTCACGGCAGCCCAGCTCCAGGTCGAGCTGTTGTTCACCGTCTTAGCTGTAGAGGGCGCAGCGTCACTGTACCTAATCTGGGATCTGAACCGGGGCCCTGCTGCTCAGAGCTGGCATCCCAAGCCAACTCTTAACCAACGCGCCACTTGGCCGGCCCCGTTGGAAGGATTTGTAATAACCAAGATACTAAAGCAAAAGTGTTGCCATCTGTCCAAGTCCCCAGCTCCTCAGCAGCAGAGCCCCATGAGTATTCTCATGGGGCAGTTGAATCAAGGGAGATCAAGACTACAAGAGGCAGTCCATGCCCATAGTAGTACTTTCTTGGGGTTTCTCATCTTTCCTAGGTTACGCCCTAGGAAAATTGAGTCCCCAAATCTACAGCCGGGTTTCTAGGTGCTCACCGACACAGGGTTGGAATTCTCACTCTATTAAATAAAAATAATCATTTTTCCCTTAGATAGCCTAATAATTAAGGTGACCAGGTGTCACAGTTTGTGCCTGTTGTTGAAGTGTATCTTTTTTAAAGGTCCCATTTTACTCTCAAAAAAGTCCCAGTTTGGTTGATAAAATACAAGGTTGCCCTACTAAGCTCAGATATTTTCCCACTCAAGCGCATGCACCCCTGCTTGTCCTGGAGCACCCATCCAGCGTCTTCCCCCACAGAGGAACTGGGCCCCATGGTGGCACGTAAATTAAGCTTGCAGCTTCACTCACTGGTCCTCAGACTCTGGTGCAGAAAGCCCCTCGGATCAGAGACTGCTCAGAGAGCAATGTGACCAGTACAAACTCCTGCAAGAGTCAGTTCCTCCCTAATTCTCTCCTTTGGATGCCATCTCAAGGGAGCCCTTCAATTGCAGTTGGAATTTCTCTAGGTGTGTATCTTGGGGTGGGGATGTAGGGAGAATCCAGGATGAGAGAGAATTGGGTGGGGAATAGCCTCAAGAGTTGGGAGGGCGCAATCGGAGGCACAAGCCCTGTGTGTGGAGCCTGAGGCTGATGTACACCACCTACCTCTGGTGTTTCTTTGGAATACTGTATCCCTCGGACTCCTGGTTTCCCCCACTTTTCTCCCAGCCGGGAGTTGCCATGGCAACACAGTGGCTGAGAACTTCTAATTACATCTGTCTGCTTCTCCTAGAACCATACTGAGAAACACATATGGAGACTTCATTTAGCCAGGAGTTTCTTGCTGGGTTTTAACCCTTTCTGCATTCCTCAGGCCGGAGAACAATTGCCAAGATGGTATAAACTTGACGGCTGCCTTGCAACCACNAAAACACTTGGTAAATTTTAATTGTACTACTCAAATATTAGTCTTCATGTTTTAAATAAAGAGTATCTGTGTCTTCAAATGGATTTTTGAGAACTATTTCTGAAAGATGACTTAGGTTGAATTCAACCTATAACTAAAAGCTTTTATGTTTAATACTCACTAAAAATAACAACATAAGATAAACAGAGGCTCTATAAATGCCATAGGCTATTCTACAGGAAACTCTATAAACATTAATATTAATTACATTTTCATAGGCAGCTAGCTTTATCTTTATTATGTACTTCCAAATATATTATTTCATTTCATCTTCACAGAGAAGGGCTGGTATTTACCCCTATTTTACAGATGAGGAAACTGAGGCCCAAAGAATTTAAGTGACTAGTTACAGACACAACACACAACCAGTAAAGTGCTAACGGTTGTTGGTGTCTGTTCATGAAGCTGTGTGCTACTATGTCTTTGAATGTAGGCATATGTCTGAACTTTCTTTTTTTTTATGCGTTTGTGGGTCCGTAACTTGTGTGGCACAGCCACAGAGGATTATACGAGTATATGTCTTTGTATCCCTCAGCTATCATGTTGATTCGCATAAGGGAAAGGAGAAATATCTGAAATTTTTTTTACACTGGTCAGCCATTTCCTCTTCCTTTCTAGAGCTGCTTTCCATGCGCAGGCACAGTTTCCAAAAGGGCTCTGCCTGGGGAACATGCTCAATTTTATCTCTGTTGCTGATTTAGAAAACAACAACCCTCCAGTCCTCTCAGCCTTCTGGGAATTACTTCCTCTTTTCTTCCCTGCTTGCCAGCTTTATTGAATTTGCCTTAGCAACATCCAAAAAAGAATGGGTTTAGCAACAGCATGTGAACCAATGAAATGTGAGCGTGGCAAGGGTTTGTAGACCAATGGGAGCCTTGCATGACAGGCAAGCTGGCTCAGGAGAGAAAATAATAACCTGGAGTTTGCAAAGCAGCCTCCATGTGGCAGCAGACCAGCTGTATTAGACACAGCCCCTCAGCTCTCAATATCTACTTTGTTTTTTGCTTCCTTTGACATAATCTTGGATATAAAACATTTACGACTGTAAGAATTTACTGTTCGAAGCTTTGTGGGTGTGAGTCCTCTGTATGACATGATAGAAATGGCCCGAAGGGCAGAATCTTAGGTTCCATCCCCGCCTTTACTACAGCCAATCCTGTGACCCTCATCACAACTCCTGCCATCTCTGTTGGTTTTGTCACAGCCCATATTACTTCAGTGGGCTGGGGCTGGAGGCCTGTGGGTGATTGCCTGCTCAGCCAGTCAGGTAGAGTGGCTGGAGGAACCATATTCTCCTTCATTCAAACCACCTCNCAGGAAGAGACTAGAAATGCTTAGAAGTTGGAGGCCAAAACTAAGCCAGGGTAGCCAAGCCAAGTACACAGTAGCTACTGAAGCCAAGAAAGAACATCTCAAAACAATGCCCAACCCGCCTCAACCAGGAAGCACCCTATACTCATCTTCCCAAAACTCCCTGCAGTAGCTTCTCCACACCTCCCTGCTCCCGGTCTGGCTTTGTAAAGGCAGCCATCTGTTTCTAGGATGTAGGCAGTTGGTGAACAGCTGATTTGTAATCATCTGGATAATCAGCCCCATCATATACATCAGACAAAATTCAAATGATTGCTCCCATGGGACAATGCCCATTTCCGCAACTGCACTGGACGGTTTATCCTCTGGATGGCCCAGGTTCAGAGCCCTGCATGGGTATAAAGAGCACTCTCAATGGTGGTGCCTCCCAGGGGCCTGAGCACATCTTGGTGTGGGGGCCATGGATCTGAGAAGACATTGTAGAAGGCATTCCAAGGCATTTTCAGGTCAGTACCTGAAAGTGTCTGGTTTTAGATCATAAATCCCAATGGTGCAAAGAAGAAGGGACACCAAAATGTGAAGCCAGCTGGAGGCAGAGCTGAAGGAAACTACCATGAGGGGCAGCTCGATGCTGAAGCCAGGAAGGCATGGCTGAGCAGCGTTTCCTAACAACAGACACTACTCTTGATAAACATACAGATTCCTGGGCTCCATGCCAAACCTACTGAATCAGAATCTGCAAAAGAACAGAGTGGGAACCTGTGTTTTTAAGAAGTATTCTATGATTTATTTATTTATTTGTTAGTTTGGAAAACACTGCTAATATGCAGTGGTATTAACGCTGGCTGCACAGTAGAACCACCTAGAGAGCCTTTACAAAACCCTAGTGCCCAGGCCTCACCTCAATAATTAAATCAGAGTCTCTGAAGGTGGGATCAAGAAAGTATTTTGAAACATTCTCCAGGACGTTTTGAGGGCATACGAAAGGTTGAGAAGCACTGACTGAGAAGAACTTCCTGAGTCAGGATCCAGATTTTCTCTGTAGCCCTTCCTGCATGGCCAGCTCCCGGCATGGATGTGCTGGGGTGGTTGAAGACACTAGGAACCAAGGCCAGAGAAGAGTGGGGACAGATTGCTTTGTTTACAGTGAGTTACTTTGGAGGTTATCAGTTGTACTGGATACACCTCTTTCACAAGTTAAATGGGAGATGAAATTAAGAGCCTAGAAAGTAGATAGACATTGGTGGGATCCCTAACAAGCTTCCCTCAGTCACCACTGCTCTGAGCCTTGGTTATTCTTGCAGGAAAGAATCAGAAAGGGACCCAGACCCAGAGAGAGGAGGAGATGACCAGATATGTCCAGGAGCTCCAAAAGCACCAGGTGAGTTGTAGCCTCCATGCTAGCTCAGGTATCTCTGCAGCTACCAGGCCCTTCCACCACTCAGACGTTGCCTAATGTTTCAGGAGACCATGGAGATGTGCTCTGTTCAATACAGTAGCTCCTGAGTAATACACCTATACTGTGAAACCATGATACAGTGCCCTGATAGGGTTCCTGCAGGGTCCCACAGGTCCCAGCAGCTGTAGGTTGCAACTTGGTAAATTCCTTTATAAGTAAGAATCAGCCAGGGATGATTTGCAAATAGGTTGGAAGTGGTTTGCAAATGAGCACGGTCAAATGAAGTGTTACTGTTTCCTGCCATGACCCGTGCCCAGACCTGATCACCATGAGCTCCCGAAGGGCAGCTCATTATGGCTTGTTCACCATTGTGTCCCTGCATTTAGCACAGGGCCTGGTACATAGCTGGCTCTCCATGAGCTTGAAATGAATGGATTTGGACTATAGCAAAAAGGGTGAAAGTTAAATGCTAGGCTGGCTAGAAAACAGCCTGCGATTGACAAACACGGGGGACTTAGAGGTTCTGCTTCCTGGAGGCTTGAGAAGATAATACATAAGAATTCTGTTCAGGTTCTATGTCATTAAGTTGAAGGCCTTCTTGAGGAAAAGGTTCTTAGCAGAAGAGTGATCCACTGATTTATTGTGCCAAGAGTCTGGAGATGAAACATGGGTATGCTGGAATCCTGGACCTGTTTTTCCAGTGGTTTACCATATAGTCTTAAGAAAGGATGCTGTACTTTAGATCACCTGTCTGTAGACTGGGTCTGGTAATACAAGCCTTTCCTCTGATATAGAAATTCTTGAGGAATACAACAATTACAAGAACTGCTAAACTATTGAGATTAGATATTTGACTTGAAAATAAAGAACTGTTAATAATTGCTCAAAAAATTATAGTCATATATATATATATATTGATTTTACATGCATTTTGTCATTATTGTCACTGATAGTGTAGAAACCTCATGTCATTTTTTTAAACAAAAGAAGCTCCTATTCTACTGTTTGTCCATATTTCAGCAGCATTGAGTCTCCAGATGAGTATAGCTTCATAAAAGAAAAAAAGGGCTTTATAGGAATTCCTTTCATCTAGGGTGTAGATATGATCAAAGTAGACAGTGGGGAATGAATTATAATAGCTGTCATTTTTAAGTGTCTCTATCTTCTGTGAGTTCACTCAGAAGCAGATGCTAAGGCAAGGACTCAAGTACAAATAGTTTATTTGGGAGGCAATCCCAGGAAACACCAGAAAGGGAGTTGGGAAGTGAGCCCAGGAAGGAAAGGAAGCAATAAAGAGCGAGTATGTAGGAGAGTTACCACTGTGGGTAGGTGGAGCTCAGTCCTGATGCGGAACTCTGGGAACAGTCACTATGCCTGAGGGGTAAGGCAGCGAGGTATTCCTACATCAACTCCCGTCAACCACTGGCTGAGGGCTGCCACCAGCAAACATGAATTACCTGGCATTTCTGACCTGCCAACATGGGTGAGAGCAGGCTCCAGCTGCCAGAGAAAGCCTCGGGCAAAGAGATGCAGGTGCTGACAGTAAGAAGCCATGTCAGTGTGCTGAAACGGTAAAGACAAGGAGCTATGCATGGGGCACCAACAGTGTCTGCTAGATGCCAGGCACTATTTAATTTTTGTATTGAGGTATAATTCACATCTAAAATTCACCCCTTTAAAGTGTATGGGTTTTAGTATATTGACAAGATTGTCAACCATCACCACTAATTCCAGAACATTTTCATCATCCCAAAAAGCAACCCCATGCCCATTAAAAGTCACTCTACATTTTCCCCTCCCCCAGCCCCTGACAACCACTAATCTATTTTCTAATTCTATAGATTTGCCTATTCTGGACACAGTGTAGTTATACAACATACCATATTTCCCCATGTATAAGACACACCCTTTTTTGAAAAATTTGGGGTCTAAAAACTGGGTGCATCTTATACAGTGGTTGTAGTTTTTTTACTTGCATTTCCCGCAGTGATGAGGAGTTGTATGAATTTTATGATGAATAAAACTTAAGTTCAATAACTTTATGTAATACATTTTTTCCAAATTTTGGGCCCCAAAATTAAGGTGCATCTTATACATGGGAAAATATGGTATAGTGTTTTCTGTATGACTTCTTTTATTTAGCATAATGTTTTCCAGGTTTATCCTTGTTGNAGGCTAGCAGAATAGTAAACAATTTTATTCTTTCCTTCATGATCAGCAACTCTGATTTAACTGGGCATCATTCCCAGAGTAAGCTAATATCCCAAGGAATATAAAATAAAGCATTAAATGCTGTTGTTGGTGATTCTTTCCCCCAAAGCCTCTGGTCATTTTGTCTTCTGACGATACCATTTGCTGAGACTTACTTTTGGGGATCCTTTCTTCTCTTGCTTTCTCTCCTCTTTCATTTGAATGGCAACTGGGATGTCCCCAGGGTGGGTAATGCAATGTCGCTGGCTTTACACACTAGATCTCAGAGAAGGCTTTATCCTAGGTAAAGTTCCACCAAAGGCACAGTGATCAGGAGTGGCTGGAGTCCCAGGTAGCAGACCCCCCACTTACCTGTAGCCCTACTCTCTAAACTCTCTTATAGTTGACCCATAGACCAAGTATCCTGATTTCCATAGCCTGTTACTCTACTTTTCAACGGAGTCAGGGTAACCAAAACCAGCTAAATATGTGGCATTTCTCCAATGGTTAGTCAGTTAAAAATGAAGGAGAACAGAGTCTTGAGAACTATACTGCTACATAATACTTGGGAGTGCCTTTACTGAGAATGATAATCTTATAGATTACTCACCACTAAGCTAGTAGGTTTTTGTGTAGAGTTTCTAATGCAATCCTTAAGGGGTAAACAAAATGAACAGAAAAGGAGGTCTTTGTGCATTGTGAATACAGCCTGAGGGTCTCACAGGATTTTAATTTCTGAAAAATAAGGAGTTTCTCGCTACAATGGAGCAGAATATCTGGCAGTCTCTCATTGGTGGGCCTCCAGTCAACTAAGGCTTGATTGGCCAGCACAAGGTTTTACAGCTTCTTCCCCCCAGCTGTGACTTCCCAACTGCTCCAAGGAAAGAATGCAAGGCAGGAATGTCTCAAGAAGAATAGAATGTGCATGCTTTCATTGACTTTAATCTCAAGGCACTAAAATTGTGTGTGTGTGTGTGTGTGTGTGTGTGTGTGTGTGTGTGTGTGTGTAATATTATTGAAAGCAACAGCGTATAACAGTCAAGCCAAGTAAATGAAAATAAGTTTTGAGAAATATCCACTTCGTTGCCAAATTTGTCCATGGACTATTATACAGAAAAAAAAGGTATATTTAAATAGTTAAGAGAAGGCTCCACATATGTAGTTCAATTAGCCCCTTATCACTGTTTCACCATAGAAGCCATATAAAGCCCTAAAGAGAGGAGGTGACAAACATTGTATCTTCCTTACAGAGGAGAACAGACACGGGAGGCAACTTGTCCACAGGCATGAAAGCAGAGCCAGCAGTAGGCTTACGTGCCCATGACGCCTGCCCATTTTTCAAGGCCGGGGTGTTCATTACTTCAGTATCCTGGTCCCAGATGTAGCCCAGGATCCTGCCTTACCCGTGTATTTAGATAATGCCTGTTGACTTCAATTGTAAAATATTCCACATTAATGAAGGTCTTCCTATTTCTACCTAAACTCTCCTCAATTCAGCCCTCAGTAATTTGTCAGAACTACTCCAACTTACGGTTCAGAGCTGTGTTGTCCAGTAAGAAAAGCTGCTAGCCACAAGGTAGGGCTACTGGGCTCTGGAAATGTGGCTAGTCCCATTAAGACATGCTCTAAGTGCAAAATACATGCCAGATTGCAAAGGTGCGGTATGCGAAAAAACATGTAAACTGCCTCAATAATATTGATTACATACTGACATGGTAATGTTTTGGCTATCTTAGCTTAAATAAAACAAATTATGAAAATAATTTTATCTATTTCTTTTGACTTTTTAAAATGTGACTACTAGAAAATATGAAATCATCTATGAGACTGATATTCTATTTCTGTTGTACTGCTCTCTACACTTGTCATTTAACCATGCATTGCAATTAGCCACACATTGTCTTGCGTTATCTCTTATTAGACTGTGTTGTTCTGTTTTGTAAAATTGCATATATTTATGCTCCATCTCCTCGTCTAAACTGCCATCATGCACAGTGCTTTATTCTTCCTGAGTCCCCAGCGTCCAGCATGATGTTTGGTATTTTGTTGCTTGGTTAGCTCATATGTTGCTTACTTGCTNATTATTTTTTATTTTAGCCTTCCTAGTGGGTGTGAAGTGGCATCCCATTGCAGTTTTGATTTGCATTTCCCTAATGACTGATGGTTTGAACATCTCCTCATGTGCTGTTGGCCATAAGAAGTCTTCTTTAGAGAAATGTACCACCATTGTAAGAGGGGGTACTTCATTACCCTCATTTTTTTAGTTGAAGACATTGAGGTACAGAAGGCTTCATAATATGCCCAAAGTCCCCCAGAAAGTAACACAGCCATGATTCAAGCTCAGGCCTTGTGCTTTCAGAGCCTGTTGCTCTTAACGCTTCTCTGGACTTGGGTTCAGGACATCTTGTAGTACTTCCATTTAGTATCCTTTTCTTCATCTTTAAAATGGGGATAATAATGTCTGACCTAATTGTTTCATAGGAGTGCAAATGGGGTCAGCTCTTAATTCAGTGGCAGCCCCTACACGACCATGTCATGAATAAGACATGATGCTTGCCCTCAAGTTGTTCGCCACCCACGGAGGAGACAGACAAGTAAACAGAACTAAAATTCAGAATACGCATGTATCTGTCAATGCTATATCAAGTCTTGAAAACTAGATAAATGCCAATTTTTTTTTATATTTCATAATGTTATTTTCTCTTGCTTCTCAAAGGAAACAGCTGAAAAGTCCAAGAGAGTGAGCACCAAAGAGATCTAATGAGGAGGCATCAGGGAACGGTGTCTGGAGCCTGGCACCTTCTCTTCCATTTCAGCACGGAGTCCAGTATACGCAAATGTCTGCTACAATCGCCAAACCACCAGTATTTGCTTGTATAGCAACAAGTCTTATTTTGTCTATTTGTTTTGCAATAAAGGAAATGGGGGGTGGCTGGCTAGGAGGGGAAGGGCCATAGCCTTCATTTCTAGGAGTGCTTTGAGAGAAGCTGTAAATGGGGCTCGGGAGCTGGAGGCAAGAAAGGAAACTGCATCAGGGTTGGGAGAGGAGCAGACCCAGATCTGACCCACTTCTGAGTCTAGACAGCTGTAAACACGCTGCAGGGAATGCAAGCAATGCCGGAGAGAACTTAGCAGGCTGACCCCAGAGGAGGGGCTTGGGAAGCTCAGTGGGGAAGAACGCATTCTGCTTCATGGCCCCAACCCCTGCCTCTAGATACACAGCCATCCTGCTAGTGACCCAGTGTCCCTCAGGCTTGATGGAGTTTCTGGGAGGGTGCCCCCAAATGATGCAGATACTCGTGTACTTTCAGCCCCTTAGAGACCTAACCAAAATTTTAAACATACTTTTTACCAAAGGTGCTATTTTTCTGTAAAACTTCTTTTGGTGAGTTGACTTCATTCTTCAGTTATTATCATTATATTATTGTTGTTTTTAATATTTTACTTTCTTGACTAGAAATTAAGCTTTTGTAATTATTTTTCAGTGGTCCTACCATTTCAGAGGTGGGAAAGTTTGGGGTTCTTCCTGGTACAGGGACTGCTATAACCCAGACTCCCCCCACCCTGTCACATATTAGCTGCAGCCCAGAGTTTGCCCCCTGGCTTCCAGTGGGTCAGAAGTCTGTCCAAAGGAGCAGCAGGGTGCTTCAGGCAGAAGCCAAAGAAGAGAAACGTCTCCATACAAAGCTTTCAAGATCCAAAAAGCTAATTTGTTTTCATTCTGATAAGTCCATGCAAATCAGTATTTCAAAGGTTGGAGACAAGTGCAACTAACGAGGTTTAGATATCTCAGCCTATCAATATGCTCGTTGATCCACCACTAACTAGGAGAGTGACGCTGTCCCTGTCTCTTCCTGTTTCTGGGCCTCAGTTTCCTCAGTGAGCAGGTAGGAATGCATTAACCTTTCAATTTCATAAATTATCAGTTCTGTGGTTCTGATCATTGGTCCACAGGAGACATGTTCCTGTGATTTCCTCCTCCTTAGGATAAATGAAACCTTGTTCTAACAAGAGTCAGACAGCCAAAAACAAGATGACCAAATTTGACCCCAGTTTGAACAGCCTCACAGGTTGTGCTGATGATGCAGAGCCCTCTCCGTAAAGAGCCCTCTCCAGGAAGACAGTGGGAAGGAGAACCACTTCACTTTGTCATCACTTTTGCATTTCCTCTTTAACCTTCCAAACAGAAATGGCTTTTCCTTTAGAGATGAGGACAAAAGGAGGTTTAACATTTTAAACTTAAAATTGTGATTGGGGAGAAATCACTCAGTCCTGTGTCTTTTGGCCTCTATAATTATTAACCCAACTCAGGGCCATATTTGAGATGCATTTGGAGTAACATTAAAAGCTTGACATAAGATCTCATTTTCAGAAAGCATATTATGGACCATCGGAGGGAAGTTATGTAGGTTGTACTGCACAGGCAACTCTTGAGAAAGTTGTGCTGAAAATGGAATTTCTTCTAAACAAGTTTCCTTGTTCACCTTTGAAAGGAGAACATTCCACTTTGTTTAGAATTCCGAGATTTTCTATGTCATCCCACTTAAAAGCTCTTTTCAAACCCCACTTGTGCATTCTGAAATGAACCTCCTTGTCCACGTGCCTTGGAGAACTCCCTTGATCAAGTGTTGCCAGCCCTTGGACAGTATGGGAAAAAGGGCAAGAGTAGCAGTTTAAAGCAAGAAGCCAGAGTGCCTCCTCATCAGTTACATTCAGGACAGTGGTTGCCATCCCAGACTTACCCTGCTCTGCAACACTAAATTCCCAAGAGCAAATCCGCATTGCTCCTGTAAATAAGGAAGCTATTGTCTGCACCATAGAATCACATGATCTGATGACCATCCATGGGAAGCTGCTAAATAGCCTAGTTTGGGGAGTCTTGCATAGAGCTTTTCATAGAGCAAATAAACAGGATTCAATTGGGTTCAGTTCCTTCCCCTTTCTAAAAGCACAGGGCTTAGACTGCAAGCTTCCTTAGGCTTTCTCTGCGTGTATACAGTTTTATAAACATTAATTACAGCCTCTTTTAAGATCCAGTGTCCATGGAAACCTCACATGCCATGACCCAGGACTCCATGACTGTTTTTGGAAAGCAGGGCTCCTCCACCTACTAATATGCCCATGTGAACCAGTCTGAATGTCTTTCCTTTACACTTAAGTTTTTAAATAGTCAAATTTCAAGAAGCAATTTGAACAGGTTTCTGTTGCCTATGTGTTTGTGAAATGTATTGTATTGAGTAGGCTCCCATATTGCATTTAACTTGTTTTTGTAACTCCTGATTCTTTTTTTTTTTTTTGGATACTATTGATAAAATAAAGAAATTAAAATAACAGTTGTATTGTTTCCGTCCCTGAAATAAAGTTGTGAGAACATTAACCTTTTACATCATTATAGTGGATTTCTGTTTTAGGAACCTTAAAAGAGGCCTGAAGAGTTTCTTCTAATAAAACCTTGACTGCAGCTGGGAGGGAGTTTACTCAGGGACAGATTGAATGTGTTTATTTAAAAGAACGATTAAAAAAAAAAACCACACAAAAATAAAAAAAGAATGATAGATGGTGGGTCTGGGGTAGGAAATGATGAGAAGTCAGGGAACGTTCCTGTATTGGGAAGAGGTTAAATGACTCCTAAAGTCCCTACGGGTCTTATGAGACTGGGACGGCATCAGGAGAGGCCGGCTGCAGTTAAACCTGTATGAGAAGCCAAATGAATCTGGGCAGGTGGCACAAGGAGCATGCCAGGGTCTGGTTGGAGAACCTTAATGGCTTTTACCTGATACGCACATATTATCTATAGGAGTAAACATTTCCAAGTGGCCTGAATTTTGGCTGGTTAAGAGCCTCTGTTCTGCTCCATCTTGGAGACACGTGACCAATACTTGCTTTCCATCTCCCTGTCCACATGATTATTATGGGTATCGTGCTCCAGATCCCCAATAATTCTATCTTCCACAAGAGCTCATTATGGGTGATGGTTTAAGCTTTCTTAATTTGAGTCATATGTGTAGCAGCCTTGCTTCTCTAAAATTATAGCCAGGTCACCTTGATTAGATTTGGGGTATTACTCAAATGCTAATCAAATGTTAAAAGGCAATCTGTGGTTATGTTATTGTTACAGATTACTGATCTCACTAATCAGTTTGATTCTTTGAATTTTCATTCCTGGAAGGGAATCTTAAACCCGATTTGAAGGGAACCTTGTCCACAACCACTTTTAAATACTGGTTGGTCTCTCCCAGCCTTCTACTGTGCTCTGGGAACACTGTTCCTGTTATTATAGTATGTATGTGTGCAGGAAGTGAAAATGAATTAAAATAGCCTGAAGGGAGTATAATTCAGAAGGTAAGTTTCCTATAATCAAAATATAATATTATGAATTGTGCAAATTAGTACAAACCACTTTAATTAGCTTTAGTTTGGGAACACCTGTACTAAGTTCCCATCAGTCCTCTTGAATTATTTCTGAAATAAGTGGAAGGAGGGAGGGGAGAAAAAAAGAATGTGAATGAGTAGACGAATCTAAGCAGATTATCTCAGGGCCCTGGAGTACATCTTGATGGACATGGGATGTGGAGAGAGTAAACCCTGGGCTACTGATGCTGAGTTTCATGATGTAACAGGAAGCATCATGTTGCTGCTGGAATGGTAGGGTATTCCTGTCAATAGGAGTTAATTTTTTTAATTCACATTTATTTCTTATTGAAAAGGAATAATGCACATGGTAAAAACATCCAACTGTATCAAAGAAAATAAAAGGAAAAAATTCATCCTCTTAGAGGGTTGTACATTTATACGTAAATTTGCTTGTAATTGCCAATTGTCCTCCAAAGAGGTTTCACCCAGTTACATTTGGACCAAAATTACATAAACTGAGCATGTCTATTTCCCTACATTTTTGCAAGCACTGTGTCTTCAAACTTTTGGGCCTCTGGTAGAGGGAAAATTATAACTCATTGCTTTATTTTTAATTATCTTATTATTCCTTTTGTGAGATTGAGCATCTTTCCATGAAAAGGTCCTTGTCCTTTTCTTTCATTCTCTTTGCTCATTTTTCTATTGGTTGTTGGCCTTTTTCTTATTGGTTTGTAATAGTTCTGTAACCCTGTGTAGATATCTTACATATAAGGAACATACAGTTCATAAAGTTTAAGGAACTTGTCTAAGACCACACAACTAGCAAGGAACAGTCAGGAATCAAACCTGGGTCCCTCTCTCATTCTACTTTGCCACAATGTTTCCCTTTATTTAAAGATTATCAATGTGAAATATTAATTCCTAATTAGTGTTCTCTATTATGTAATTGCTGCTCACATATAAACAATTCATACATTTCTTCATTTAGTTCTAATAATAAATTGCACGTCCTCTTGCTTGGGTTTCTTTTAAGTAGATATGTGAATGCAGTTCAGGTCAGGCCTCTGAAGTTTCCTGAAATGTGATCCCCAGTCCAACTTGGTCTCCCCAGAGATGATACACCCAGGAATCATGCCAGTCAGTCTGGGTCCCCCCAGCAACCTGCAGCACACACTTCAAAGGTTTAGCCTGGTGAAAACTTAACTTAGGAATGCACACCCCAAATCTGTATAATTGCACAAATCTGGTGTGCCTTCTTCCTGTGCCGTGCTATGTGGAAGTTTTAGAAGCAGACATATGTCCTTCTATGGAAATTATTTTATCACCTAAATCCAGTGATTCAAAAAATTTTGATTTTGGGCCAATTAAAATCTCTGGTTCCTGGGCAGTTTTCTATCATTTCTCTTACATGCCTTTTCTCCTCTCTCCCAGAACCTAAGCTTGATTCCTACAAGGCCCAGTCACCAGGAAAGACATTGCCCCGCCCCTATATCTCCATGCTTTTTGTATAGAAGAGGAGAATCTGTACAAAAAGCATGGAGATAGGAGAGATTTGGAAGATGGAGTTTAGGAATAATAAAGACCCTGAAATCACCTGGGCAAATCAGAAAATCTCAAAAGTTAGTCTCACCTTCTTTATATTTCCAAGATGTCAAGTGTTTGTCCAGTAATGCCCAGAGAAGGCTTTTACAAACATAATAATTCCATAGTCATTTTTAGAGATGTCTCTTTGTCAAGTTCTCCTTTGTATCAGCAAAGTGCCCATGTTAATACTGTTACCAAAACCCAAAAACTCTGATTTAGAGAAAACCTGCTCTGCTGAACTCTCCAACAAGCTGTCTGTCACTGAAGCACCACATCAATGAGATATACACAAAGTAGATAGCTCATCAGGCCTTTAATTGTCTTTCATTTTGCAGTGAAAATTTTTAAAGTTTACTCAAAGAACTTAACATGCCAGAGGCACAGGTCAAATAAAAGTAAATCGTACAAATAAAACAGCATTAGAGAGAAAGAAACAAGACTTCAACGTAGGACTTAAGAAAGACAAAATAGGGGAGCTCCTATAATTTTAGTCAACATCCAACACACTGATCCTGTTACCTGCTGACTTTTTCTGTTTACGGCAAATAGGAGCCTAAGACAAGAAGGATATCATCCACAGGAGAAAACCAGGCGCTCCAGGCAAGACAGTGGTTCTTGGGCGGATGTGATTTAAATCTCTTAATAGTAGTCAGATGTAGGAGGATTCTTTCTCCCTGCAAAAAAGAAAGAAAGAAAACATAGCATGCTGGAGGTCTGTATCAGAAACAAACCTGCATTCAGATACAATGGATTTCTGAAAGCTACACAGGAAAGAACAGTTGTGAAAAATGAATTCGCTCTGCTCCTCCTAAGAGCAGAGCCCTCAAATAACTCATTCACCTCTAGCAGTCCTCCATTTGTGAGGCAAAATCCTGATTTACATTCTTTACTTTAACAATACTGCTTGGGGAACAACTAGATAAGCCAAAAGAGATAAAGGATGTGCATGGGCTATTCTCTATCAATTTTCGGAGAGAGAAGGAAAGCAGAAACAAAATAGGCACAGGGCCTTGGAATCTGTTCGGTTTAAGGCTCTGAGACACAGGTAAGAGGACCTGATGTCATCAGTCAGCAAATTGCACCACTTCCCAGTACACTCTGGAAGGAACGCATCCCAGGCCAAGGCATGACTGCAGTCTGCTTATTAGCTTGTGAACCCACAGGGGGAGAATGGAGGAGGATGCTCCCGATGTATCTGAGAAAAGGAAGAAAGAGGTCCTGCATTTCCACTTCAAGGTTCCAAGTCATGTTGCATCTCTGAGGCCATGATGATAAGACTCAGAAATTAAGAGCTAATAACACCTATTCCAATGTCCTACTATGTGTCAGGAGCCCGAAGAGAAAGATAGGGGAGCATGGCTTCTGTTCAGGAGGGATTCACAGTCCCTGTGACAAGATGAATAATAACGAATTTCAGTTATGCAACAAGTTTGCAAATACAAGGCGTTTGAGGTGCTATCCAGTGCAGTCACACTGCACCCCTCCAGGGGTGCCAGGCACATTAGATTCTATGTAAAGAGCGCCCTGGAATTATAATATGCATAACCCGAGCTACTGCATATGGCAGTCTTGCTTCTCCCTCCAGCTTCTACACCATCACCCACAAGAATCAAAAGGGAGTCCCAGAGTTCTGCATGCTCCAGACAAGTCTGTTCCACCCTGGCCTTCATACCTCCATCACAGAGAGAAAAGAGGACTTCAGAGGTCTGTGTGCTCCCCACAATACCCTCACCATCTTTCTCCCCACAACATTTATAACTTCGCCATCAGGGTCTGCCTTGAGATTACCATATCCAATCTCATCATGTCTTTTTCCCTGTTCATGTTTTACACCACAAGAAGCCTAAGATTTCCAGTGTATCCTTCATCCCACAGACTCTGAGCCCCAAACGGCTCTGTTCCCTCCTTTTCCTGACTCCATTTCCAACCCATTCCCAACTTTCTGAAACTCTTCTACTGTTCCCTCTGGAACTTGCTATCAGTCATCAGCAAATCCCTTAGTCTCAATGTCTGCTAATATCTTCCTTAGCCTCTCACTCACACTGAAATCTAGCTCTCCTCTCAGGACACTTCTTCCCCTCAGGCACTTTCAAGTGGTGCAGGTTTTCTTTCCAGCATTCTTCCTACACTGGGCGTAGGTGAATTCCTTACTTCTCATTATAGCTTCCAGATCATTTTTCCTCCCTCCTCTCTACAAACCTCTAGCTTAAAAATCTCATGTCATTCAACTTGTCCATCCACTACCCTTCTGTGTAACAGTCTTCTATTCTCCCCACCATCATTCTTTGATTTTAGCTACTGGCTCTGTAAAGCTGTACATTACTTCTGTCATCATTCTTGGTGTCACTATCTCATACTCGTATTTAACCTCTTGGATTCTTCATATAGGCAGGAGACAACAAGAACAATTACCTTGCCGCGTTGAGGCAAAGACTTAAAATGAAATACATAAAGGACCAGGCCTGTGGTTAGAGGCTGATAAATGGCAACTGTAACTATTCAGCCTGTCACATCATAAAGCTGATGTACTTAACAGGGGCACAAAAGCCTCATCAATAGTAACAGCCACATCAATCAGGGTGAAAGATGTCAGTCCCTGAAGTGTGTGGTCTCGTTTCAAACCCAAAGAGACCCCACCTCACTAACTTCTCTTGCCCCAGGCTACAAGCTTACTGTCCCCCAATGTTTCTTTAAATCTCCAAAGTGCCTGATACATTTGCCATTCAGACAATATTAGTGAGTGATGAGCTCTCTGTGGTGAAGCACACCCTGCTTTCACTTACTCACTCGGGTACTTGCGGATGATTCTGAAGGGCTGGTTGTTCGCGTCGGTTTCTGTTATGCAGCAGGCATATTTCTCATTCAGCTTGACAGGATATTTCAGGACGGAGAAGACCCTGTAGAAGCCATTCATCTGCTCCTCCAGGACCGCCACGGTACTGTGGTTGCTCAGGTCCCTCTCTGCCCGGTCCAGCCAGGTCACATTGGGCATGAGGTACCAGCCTCTGGAGACACACGTGGCCATATCTTCATCATCAATCTTACCAAACTGCACCTGGGGCATTTCAGAGTCTGGTTGGAAAAAAATAACAAAACAATTAGTTCCTTTTTTATTTCAGCCCCAGGAGGATCAGCCTAGCAGAAATCTTGTCCTCCTGAGTTTTTACATTACCTCTCATGTAGGCAACACACCTTGAAGTTCACTGTAGTTAAAATTTTGAACCAGGCACAGTGAGAGAAAATCAGGAGGCACACATGCTCCTGCCCTCCACGTCTCACCTACCACTGCTGTGTTAACTTTTGGAATCTTCCCCTCTTTGGGAGATTCATTTCAAACTCTCCGATGACCTCAGATACCCTGCTGAGAATCACAGACGATAACAAATGATTCTCACCCTCATCTTCCAATCTCTTCCAACGCCTACCCTGGAGGAATTCTGCCATGCCTCCCTCCACCTCCATAAGAACTCTCTTGGGAAGAAGACCACTCTCCATGTAATCTGAGAAGGGCAAGGATCCCTGGGGCACTATGGAGATCCAGTGGTCCAGTCCAATCCTATATTTGAAGTGAGAAAATGAAGCCTAGAAAAGCTAAGAGTTGTCTAGCATTATCCAGAATTAGCACTGGGCCTCCTGACTCCCAATGCAGAGCTCTTCTCACTAAATTACACATCATATCTCAGAGTTTTCATATAGGGATATTGCTATTTAACATTTTGGTTTTTCACTGTTAAAATTTGCTTGGTGAGTTTGGGATAAGGCCAATGGGTTGTTTTTTTCTGGTTTGTTTGTTTGTTTGTTTTATGTCTTGTTTGCTTGTTGGAATGGTAGGTATGGATATAGCAACTTTGGTTCACAGCAATATTTTTAGCTAAGATGAACTGACATTCCAAATACCTGACTCTCATTATGGAAATAAGAAGAGCCTATAATAATTTGAGTAGAAGAGAAAAAGTGAGAATACCAGAAGAGAAAACTTACAATGTATTTCTATAAATAGACACAGAGCTTTAAACCAAGTTCATTCAATAAATTTCCTTACCTCCTACTATTAGCTTAACTGTACTCTCACCTCTTTCATGTGGTGTGATGGTTGAGCACTTGTAGATAGCTTCATCCAGGAAATCCACGTTTCTTAGTAAAAGTGATAGAGTCCCCTCAGAAATTTCAGCTCGATCCACGGAGACTCGTCCCTTATATAAGGAGTTTTGGTCCTCAAGTTGGTCTGTGTTATAGCGAAACTGGTAAACCAGCTTTGAGAAAACTTCAAAAAAATCATAGTACTTAAAGAAGCGGTAATATTCTTCATCATTTTCTACCTCATATTCCTCTTGGATGTCTTCTCTTTCCCAAGAAAACTCAAGGTTTTCTGTGCCCTCCACAAAGGAGAAATGGCAGGAGAGGGTAATATCAGTGAAAAGGTGGCCCTGTAACTCTTCTATCAACACTGAGAAGGTGAAAAAAATAAATGAAGTTTAAAAAGTACTTATAAAGACCAGTGAATGCTGTGTCAGGTAGGGTTTAGTAACAGATAAAAAGAAACCACTCTTTTTAGCAGATAGGAATTTAGTACAGGGACTTTGACATTACAAAATCACTGGAAGGCTAAAGGAATGAGCCCAAAGATGGCCATTGAAGGTGAGACTTGCAATGTGTGTGTTCTGTCTTTCCTGCATTATGCTAGACTCAGAACAATGCTGTTTCCTCAGTTCCTACCTCAATATAAAGATTAAATAAATTAATTCAGGAAAAGCTCTTAGGATATGTCTAGCTTTGAAAACACTTAGTAAATGTTACCTGATATATCAGTCAGGGTTCTCCAGAGGAACAGAACAAACAAAATCTATATAAATAGATTATGTGATAATGAAGGGAGAAGGCCCAAGATCTGCAGTAGGCAAGCTGGAGACCCATAATGCGATGGTCCAAGTTTGAAGTTTCAAGACTAAGAAAAGTTTGTGTTTCATTTAGAGTCTGGCTCAAATTGTTGCTATTTGTCTGATGTGGCTTAATCAAGCAGCAGTAGATTATAGTTTTATATATATATATTTTTTTTTTAATTTATTTTTTTTTTAGCTGAGCCATCCTGCCACCTGTTGGCAGCTCAGCAGCAGCTCAGCTCGGGCAGTGAATCGAACCAGAGACCCTGCTGCTCAGAGCTCAAACTCTTGAGTGAGCTCTTAGCCAACTGAGCCACTCAGCCAGCCCTAGATTATAGTTATAAACAAATCTTAGTCTGAAGATGTGTAAATCCAAGTTCTAGTTCTAAGTCCCCCTCACTAGTCATTTGGCATGGGACAAGTCACTTAATCTCTCTGAGTTATAGTTTCCTTATGTGTAATCAGGATAAGAACACCTGCTCCAGGGTTATGAAATACCTTGGGATCTCGGGGACTGTTTTTATAATGACATGGTTCATTTTCCAGAGGGAGAGAAGTAGTGGGCCAGATGAGTACAGCCTTACTTAGTAAGCTGTCCCTCATCTCAATCTCTCATAATATGTAGCTTACTCATGAGGAGTCCTTGATTCTTGCTTCTCGGGTTATAGCCAGAAGGTCTTGCTGCAGCTATACCCCTTCTGGCCCCAAAGGAAAGGGTCTCAGACTCAGGAATCCAAAGGCTCTTGCCAGTAGATCATGAAACATGATCTACTGACAATGTAATTGGTAATATAAGAGCCAACTTCTGACTGATGTATCTGCAGATGGTCCTATTTGAATCTGAATAACTCTTTATTTCAATCTGTATTATTTTTAGACCATTGTTTCTTTTCTTCCCATGGCCCAGAAGCCAAGGCAAAAGCTCAGCAAAAGCTAATAATGTGGGAAAACACTGTAAATAAACTGTAGAAAGATACTATATCTAAAGCACATGCTGTAGTACCTAGTGCATAGTATTAGGTTGTTAATATTGCCATAAAATGTAAGAGATTAGAACTAACACAACTTTCTCTTTCTCACCTACATAAACACTCATTTCTTTAATTTATTTGGTTGGGTTGTTCCTGACTATGAGCGAATTGCCACCTCACTTTGCCCTACTGCTCCCCTCTACACACACACACTCACTAACCAAACATCGAAAGAAAAGAGCCAGTGAATGTAATCTGGGTAGACCTTGCACTAACTCCTGAGAACATCTCTGGAGCCTGAGGATGCCTTCAAGCTGCTGCTACCCTTAAGTGACTAGCAGAACTGCTGGAGGTCCCTGAGAGATGGCATGTGCCTGAAAGCTATAAATGTGTTTGATCACTTTGTGGAGTAGTTATAGTGCAGATTTTGGATACATTCTTTTAAAGAAATTTTTGCATATATACTTTGGGCTAGCTGAATTGCATTAACATGTTCAACGTCTATATACTGTTCATGCCAACATTTTTGAAGAATGGAGTACAGGGTTATAAAAACTCTGTGTTGGCTGCCCATCCAGATTTTTCAGGACAGACTTGATTTCAAATATTCTGCAGTATTATACTCTAAATCAGCACTTGTCAGAGTCACTTAAAGTTGGGGTGTAAGGAAGTCTAGTTTTTTGGGTTGTTTTTTTTTTTTTTGCTTAGGGGAGTTCACATTATAGGTGTGAATAAGCGTATATCCAGATAGGGCCTCAAATGGAAAAACCAAATTGGTGGGGGGAGGCTTTTCTCATTAAAAAAGCAAAAATAGAGTCAACAATAATGCTTTACAATTTGTATCTGTTATATTTTCCCATCTCTTTTTCGCCATTTCCTGTGAAACAAATACAGCATTGTTATTCCCATCAAACAAATGAAAAGATTGAGGGTCAGAGAGATTAAGTCACTTGATTTTTATTAAAATCTCCAAATCAGTATTTTCTTTACTACCTCCAAAGCTGTTTCAGAAATACCCACAAAGTTTTTTTTTAAAAAATGACTTACCAGCATCATGAACAAGAAGAAGTATGTTGACAGTCACCAGAAAGAAAGACATTCTGTAAGGAACAAAAAGAAAGGCAGAAAATTTGGTCAGTCAAGAAAGAGTGTGGGCCAGCATAACCCAGCCACCCCCTGCGGGCTCTGAGCAGGTCCCCACAGACACCACCTCCAGACTCCACCCCTACCAGATGCACCCTTAGAAGACAGAGACTTCCAGCACCTCAGCATTCCCTATGGGGTGCCCACTGAGTCAAGTTGACTCAGGCTGATCCTGTGCTGATGTGTTGGACTTGCTATATGAACCGGAACTCTCTTTCTCTAATATGCAAATCTGTCTCTCTAAGTGAGTCACATTTGAATTCATTTGGCTCAGAGTCTACCCTGAGATGATATTTGAGGGATCGGTGACAAGTTTTGAGGGGTCAGTGACAAGTTCACAAGCAACTGTCACTGGACTATCTGGATGTTGCTGGGGAAAGTCAACAGTAGAGGAGGTATAACTAGTACATATACAGGTGTATCAGGGAAGTTATCGAGTGGTGCTTCCCAAATGGATAAAAATAACTGTGGGAAAGAAAAAATAATTTTCCTTCTACCCTTCTAAGTTCTTCTGACTGGTCTAATAATAAATTGACATGAGACAGATTAATGGGAGAAAATAACCAAGTTTATTACATATGTACAAATGGGGGTTTCCATAAGAATATGAGAACCAAGGACAAATCAGGCAGCTGACATTTATCTGTCATCTTGAGTTAAGGAGAAAGGAGAGGTTGTGGTTTGGGACTTCAAAGGAGGAAGGCAATTCACATGGAGATGAAAAAGCAAATGTTTCATAAATAAATGTTTACTGGGCCAATTTTAATGATGGGACACAGATCCTATGCAGAGGACTTTAAGCAAAGGAGCCTTGCTAGGTTCCTCTCTGTCTATTGAACACTAGATCACATGAAACAATAGTTATCTATGATGGCAGCTCCCTTCCTGGAGCAGGTCCTATATCTAAGTTTTTTTAGGTAGTTAGGGGGAAGGTCAAAGCTTCTTCCTGAGTCTTTTGTTTCTTAAAAATAATCAGCTTAAAATAATCAATATGCTAAAACAGGCATATTTCAGGGTGGCAGTTCTGCTCCCCCTCATAACTGAGAGGCAGTACTAAACCAGTCAGCCCAGCCAGGGCTGCACTTTAATGGGAATGGAATTAACAAGCATAGGACAGCTTTGGAAGGGGTGAAAGAAAGGGCTTAGGGAACACCTGGCCCTTTTAAAAAGCTCTGACACAAATGTACATCTACACACAGGTAAAAGCAATCCTACTCATGGGCTGGATCCACTCTCCCTGGCTGGTCTCATCTCTCACTACTTCTCCCATACTTCAGTTTCCAAGGTATCATCCCTAAGTCATGATGCTGTCCAAACCCTCCTTGACTGGCACATCCTCTATCACCACTAGCCTCACTGCCCCTGTCTGCTCACTTATTTAAAACTCTGCCCAAGTAGCACTTCTTCTCAAAGCCCTCCCTGCTCCATGTCAAGTTCATCATTCCCCTTTCTATATCTTGAAGATACTTTTGTCGTTGCATGAATCACATTATATAGCAATTATTTCTTTACATGTTCTTTTGTCCCTTATTATTTCAAAGAAAGAAAGAAAGGTAAGAGTATCATATCTCCCAGCATGTTTTCCTGTCCCCTCTTCTTCCTATAATCTATCATGGAGAAAAAAGAATCCACCACACCCTCCAGGTCTATTATATGTCATAATAATAACTATATGAGGTGTGATCACAAAATACGGTGAATGTTTAAATTAAAAAATATTACAGCAAAAGAAAAGACACCTTGCCATTAATCCCCCTCAAAATACTCCCCCTCGCTTTGAACACACATATCCCATCATTCTTGCCACTTTCTGAAGCAGTTCTGGAAGTGCTCTTTTGTATCTTTAGTTGTGTTGTCGTGGCTGCCTCAATGTCCTGAATCGATTCAAAACGTTTATCTTTCATGGTCATTTTGACTTTGGGGAAGAGCCAGAAGTCGCATGGTGCTAGATTCACTGAATAAGGTGGATGACGACACAGTGTAGTGTTTCTATTTGACAGAAATTGCCATACCAGAAGCAATGTGTGACACAGAGCCTTTCTTCTACTGTGATCAGAAAATACGGTGAATGCTGCTGCCAAGTGCCATCCAACAGAAGGGCAGGATCTTCAATACGGGAAGCAGCACGTTGAACCTTAGTAACAGTGTGTGACAGTTTCAACTTGTTCGGTGCAGTCAGTTGGGTGTGAGGTATGGTTGAGAGAAGGTGTGTTTTAAAGTGTAGCATAAATCATCCATCATGACAATGCTCCATGTCATACATCGCTTCAGGTATACAGCAATTTCTGTCAAATAAAAACATTACTGTATGTCCTCATCCACCTTATTCACCAGATCTTGCACTGTGCGACTTCTGGCTCTTCCCCAAAGTCAAAATGATTCAGGACAAGGAAGTAGCCATGACAGTGCAACTAAAGACACTCACAAAAGAGGACTTCCAAACTGCTTCAGAAAATGGCAAGAACGATGAGATAAATGTGTTTGAAGCGAGGGGGAATATTTTGAGAGGGATTAAAGGCGATGTGTCTTTTACTGTAATAATTTTTTTTTTAAGATTTTATTGGGGAATTGAGGGAGGAAACAGCATTGGGGAATCAGGGAAGGGGAACAGACAAATTGCTGTCCTTTTGTTCTTCAGTCTAGCTGTGGAGGATGTTGCTTCACTGGTCCATGTTGGTATTGTAATCATTGTGCTCTTCCGGGGTAAGGCAGATCGGTCACCGGCCCTTGGACAGCCACTCACAGCAGCACCCAGCAGCTCACGCCAGCTGCCGGCCACTCATACTGGCTACCAGCCACTCACGGTAGCTTACGGCAGCCCACTGCAGCCTACGCCGTCGCCGGTCACTCACGACAGCCCAACCCCAGGTCGAGCTTTTATTCACCATCTTAGCTGTAGAGGGCGCAGCATCACTGGCCCATGTGGGATCCAAACCAGTGGCCCTGCTGCTCAGAGCTTGCCCTCCCAAGCCAACTCTTAACCAACAAGCCACTCAGCCAGCCCTGCAATAAATTTTTTAAATTTAAACATTTACCATATTGTTTGCTCACATCTTGTATATCAAATGCTTACAAATGCCAAATTTAGTCTTCAAAATAAGCCTATGAAGTAGGTACTATTAGTATCTCCATTTTATGTGAGGAAACTGAGGCATAGAGAGGGTAAATGGTTCATCCAACGTTACACAGAACCAAGACTCTCACCTTTCAGGTTAGCTGAAGCCTGTGCATGCCATCTAAATTCTGGCCTGACAAACCTCTGCAACTTCACCACACACCATGGAAAGTTTCATCACTCAGGGCATCCACCAAGAGAACAGGAAGCACATAGGCTAATGAGGCAGATGGTTTGTGGAATATTATAATAAGTCTCTTTCTTAGAGGCCTATTCGACCCTGGAGAATATGTGTTCATGGATTGAATATTAACACATACAGAAGTCTTCAGAAGATATGAGGATAAAGGGGTAGCCCTTGCCAGTCAATGATCAATTAAAGCATTCCTAGGGTCAGTGGGACAAGTGGAAAGATTCTTTGCCAAGTCTATCTACTCTAACTAGGAAAATGACTAGTGATTGACAACTATTGATTCAGGAAATAGCTCTCAATGGTATGTGTAGTAAAACATATCTAAAATTATATAAAATTTAAAAGGTAATATGCCAGCTAGCAGCTACTAGAGCTATAGTTGAGAGAGAGAGAGAGAGACTCCATAGTCAAATGTCATAGAGAAAAGAAGTTGTAGGAATATAATATGCCTTTTCAACTCATTAAAATTTCATTACCTGTTTCCAAGAGGCAAAGTTTTGCATCATTATGAAAGACAGAAATCCTAAAGCCATTCCAATTCCCCACCCCAGTCAGCTATAACCTTTGCTCCTCTGTACTTGCACTGTATTTTGTACTTTTTTATAGTACTCTCATTCATTTAATAAAGCTTACTTATTTATTTATTTTAAAAAATTTTATTGGGGAAGTAGGGGAGGTGAACAGCGCTGGGAAATCGGGGGAAGGGGAACAGACAAGTTGCTGTCCTTTTGTTCTTCAGTCTAGTTGTGGAGGACGTTGCTTCACTGGCCCAAGTTGGCACCATCGTTGCGCTCTTCCCAGGCGAGGCAGATCAGTCGCCAGCTTCTGGGTGGCACTCACGGCAGCTGCTGGCTGCCCACGCTGGCTGCTGGCTACACACGGTAGCCCATGGCAACCCACTGCAGCAGGGGCTGCAGCCTATGCTGTCGCCGGGACTCACGGCAGCCCAGTTCCACGTTGAGCTGTTGTTCAGCATATTAGCTGTAGAGCAGGGTCACTGGCCCTCATATGTGGGATCCGAACCGGGGCCCTCTGGCGTCCCAAGCCAGCTCTTAACCAACGCGCCACTCGGCCGGCCCTAAAGCTTATTTTTAATCATTCTAATAGTAACAAAGGCTGATCATTAGAAATATTTTGAAAAAATAGAAAACAATAAAGAAGAATATTACAATCACTTTTCAGTCCATCACCCAGTAACCATCTATTACTACTTTGGAGTCTTCTCTTTCAGTCTTTACATGTGCACTTTTTAAGAGAACTCAATTTGTATATACAGTTTAATGTCCATTTTAATTTTCCTCATGATACTGTTTTGTGAGCATTTCTCCACCATTAAAAAAATTGTTATAACCTGGTCCACTTATAGTTATTTGTATGCAAATCTTATCATCCCTACTAGACTGTAAGATCCTTAAGGGCAGGGCTAGGTCCTCTTTGTCTTTTCATATGTCCATCATGGTGTTCCATATAACATAAGCACCCAATAAGTGTTCATTGCATTAACTAAATTAAATGGAATCTAGAGAAATATTTTTACAAAGTTTCACTATATAACAGGAAAAACAAAAAATAAAAAAACATAAAAAAGAAATTCATATACTACTAAAGATGAGTACCAGCTATGCTAAAACAGAAAACTCCAGCAGTGCATCCTGGTGCTGCCTCCAGGGCTTGTGCCCTTTTCACCTCCTTTCATAGGAAAACTATGAGAAGTTTATGACCTAGCTCTATGTAGACATGTAAGTGTAAAGGGGCCAGATAAAGTTGGAATAGACACCTAACCACTTCAGTCATTATCCGTCGTTTGGATCTCCAGTTCACAATTATGGCCAACAATTTCTCCCAAATAAATGGACTCTATTGAAAGAGCTTACCTGTATCACAGCTGGTTCCTCTGATCAGCCAGGTGAAAAGCAGGTGAGGTGGAGTCAAGCATGTCTTGGAGGGGACTGTTATGTGGCAGTCCCCAGGGAGAAGGCTCCGCGATATTGTTATTACCAAGCTGTTGCAGCAAAAGCTTGGCACGGAGCTCCATGAGACTTAATATTTATAACGGCTATGTTTGTTGGCTCCCCCGACTCCCCCCCAAAAAAAGTGTTTGCAAGGAAACCTAGACAGGGTGGCTGAAGGAGAAAGTACCCTTCTCTTTTTAATAACATTCTAGTCAGGAGTCTTATCCTGAAATACAGTCAATTTGACCCAAGAGTAGCTTAATGGTGAAGTTTTGATAAATGGACAAATATGCCATGTACTTTCCCAACTCCCTGCAATCCATTCCTTCCTTTAGATAATGCATTACATTGCCTCCTTTTCCCTTTACACTCTCCAGTGCCCCCACTGCCTCTCTGGCGTTGTCTTCTGCTAGCCACAAGACAGCCCCCATCTCTGTGAAGGTCCACAACCACCAAAGCTCCTTCACCTCCCAGAGGGTTTTCAGAACTCTCCAGCCTGACTGGATAGCTTCAAGGCCCACTTTAGTGGTGGGGGATGCTGCTAATTTAGACCTATGTGGCCACAAGGAAGAGAGACGCATCCATGGTAGCTGAAACAGAGAGGATTTTATTATAAGCAACAGTAAGGGGATTCTCCCATTAATCTAAACATTTCTTCAAAACTTTCTATCAGGTAACTCATTTTCCATTATTGAGACTATTTCCACCTTTCCCCCTTAATTTCAAATTTGTAATCTTAACTGTCTTTCTGAATCACATTTGAATTATTTCTTTTTCACATTTTACATAACATTCCTGTCACTTTCTTTTTGTCACAGATATTTTTTAAAGCATAAAACTGTATTATTTTAAATATTTACAATTTTCACATATTAGGGTTCCTGCCAGAATGTGATCTTGATCCAAAACAAGGCTTACCGTATTTGCCGGCGTATAAGACGACTCGGCGTATAAGACGACCCCCTAACATTTCCACTCAAAATACAGAGTTTGTTATATGGTCGGCTGTGTGCGATTTTGCGAGTGTGGTAAAATCGCATAACAGCAAAATCGCATAACAGCCGAGCATACACCCAGCAGCGCTGCTGATGCCTGAACGGTATGTGGAATGAAGTGGGCGGGCATCGGGAGGCCACTATGGCACGGGGCAAGCACTATGGGCAGTCTATCTGAAGTGTACCTGGCGTATAAGACGACCCCCCACTTGGAGGCATATTTTTCAGCGACAAAAAATCGTCTTATACGCCGGCAAATACGGTAATTTTTAAAGGGACCCTTTCAAAACAGGTTTCAAAAGCAGGCCACTCTTATCAGTTTTAAAAATATCCTATCTCTGGTTTAAACTGACAAAGTATATCCTCCCACAACTATAACTCAACCAGAAATCAAAGTTTGGCAGCAGGTAAGAGGCATAAAGCTTCTCACACAAAAGACTAAGAAAAACTTTATTCTTCTTTTTAGAAGGAAAGCAATTTAATGTCATTGATTATACACAATCTCTTAACATTTTTATGCATAAGATCTGTAAAAAGAAAAAGCTAAATATTTTTCTTATATCTATTCATGACTTCAAAATTATAAAAAGTAATTTCAGAAAAGACTGAGTTTAAGGGCGAAACAGAAAATATGTTAATTGGAAGTACTAAATTAAAACCAGAGCCAGGATTTCCCAGTTAAATTGTAGTTTTAACCTGCAGTAAAATCTCAGTATTTTGTGAGTTCTTAAACTGATCAATTAGTTTGAGCTATCTCAAATTAACGAACCTCCTCTATGGTTCCTAAATTCATTTCTAGCCACTACGACTTAAACTAAAAAACACAGAAATGCTTCTATAGTAAAATGGCGAAACGTCCTTAGTTAATATGATACTATCATGTTTTTAAAAAAATCGGGTAGGGCAAGCGGGTCAAGTATTATCCATATTTTATGGGTGGGGAAATCATATTCCTTGTTCAAGGACAGGAAGCTATTTAACAGCAGAACTCGAGGTAGGAGCCAGGGGTTCTGATCTCTAGTCCAGCTGTTTTCGCACTTTGAAGTCAGCTTGGTTACTCTCCAGACTTTAAATTCCTGGGGCTTGCTGTAATGGGCTGAAATCACCACTAAACTCCCAGTGTCCTGATTACTGTGGACTCGAGGCCGCACTCCTAACCCGGATTCAGTGGGCGTTGCACCGTGACGAGCGAAAACTCTAAAGGCCAGAAAAACAAACAATCCTCGGGCTGTTTACCGAGGCGGCTAAGGACTCCGGGGACACGTCAACGAAACTCCAGAGGCAATAAAGAGCAGCTGTCCAAACCCCATGGGGTTCAGAGCAATTTGACAGCCGCCGTGTCTCTGCCGCTGCCCATGACCCAATTGCGCGCTGAGCGCCACGTGAGACAAAGCCCGCCCCTGGAGCGGCGCGCGCACCCGCCGCATCTCGTCGCGGGACTTGGCGGGGGCGCGCGGGGTTAGCGTCAGTCCTTGCAACTTCCGACGCGGCCCTCGGTTCAGGTTCCGGGGCGGCGCGGATTTCGCGGCCTGTGGGTCGCGGGCGGCGCTCTCCGGGTTCCGGGGCCGCGCGCCCTGCGGCTGCCGGAATGGAGGAGGCCGGAGTGGCAGTGACCACGGCCGGGGAGGCCGAGCTGAACTTGTCCCGCCTCAGCGTGTCTGCCGAGACGCTGGAGTCGGAGCTGGAGTCACGGGGCGAGGAGCGGCGCGGCTCGCGGGAGGCGCTGCTGCGGCTGCTGCTGCCGCACAACCGTCTGGTGTCGCTGCCGCGGGCGCTGGGCAGCGGCTTCCCGCACCTCCAGCTGTTGGACGTCAGCGGCAACGCGTTGACAACGCTGGGGCCCGAGCTGCTTGCGCTGCGCGGCCTGCGCACGCTGCTGGCTAAGAACAACAGGCTCGGAGGGCCAGGCTCGCTGCCCAAGGGTCTGGCCCAGTCGCCTCTCGCTCGCAGCCTTCAAGTACTCAACCTCAGCGGGAACTGCTTCCAAGTGGTGCCCGCCTCCGTGCTGGAGCTGCGCGCGCTGCAGACCCTCAGCCTGGGCGGCAACCAGCTGCAGAGCATCCCGGCCGAGATCGAGAACTTGCGGAGGTGAGCGGGTCCCTGCCAAAAAGGAGGGAGGCCTGGGCCGCTTGTCTGGGAGGCTCTGGGCGCCAGGCCTGGTCTTGGCGCCGTTCAGTTGTCACGTAACTGTCTTTTTTCCAGGCTTTTCCTTTAACTCTTTGGCAATGAGTACTACCCAGGCATTTCGGGGGATCGAATACAATCTTGTGTGACAGTGTTTGGTATGTTGTGTTTGCCTTATGCAGATTTTCGAGGTAATTTTTCTGTCTGGGATCTGAGGGAGTGATCCCAACTGAATAGCTTCTCAAACAGATGTAAATCTGAGGTTGTCACTTCCTTGCTCCGAAATCTTTAGTGGCTTTCCATTCTTCTAGATCTAACCCTTGTTTTCCACATTTACTGCTCGCTATCCTCTGTAGCAATACCAGCAGTACAGTAGTCCCCCATTAATGGGGGATGGGAGGGACTGCGTTTTCAGACCCCCGGTGGATACCTGAAATCTCAGATAGTACTTAACTGTATATATAGACTATGTATTTTTCTGTGTATACGTACTGTGATAAAATTTAATTTGTAAATTAGGCACAGTAAGAAATTAACAATAATAAAATAGGACAATTATATAACAATATACTGTAATATAAGTCATGTGAATGTGGAGTTTTTCAGTCCATATCTTCCACCCACAAATTTAATGCCTTTTTCATCTTAACTTGGCACTTATCAAGCTCTGTGGCCAAAACTTAACGCAGTTTGAGGTGGCACAGCAAAACTGGCATGAATTTCTTTTTCCTTCACAATTTCATAGATAGAAGATTCATTCTTACCTTAGATCTTAGCAGTCTGAGCATATGGTTTTTTTCTTTCCTTTTTAAATAGAGAACTTTTACCTTTTCGTTTAAAGGAAGCATTTTACAACTTCTCTTTGTCATATCTGAATTGCCAGCATCACCACTCTTGCACTTTGGAGTCATTATTAAGTAAAATAAAGGTTACTTGAAAATAAACACTGTGATACCATGACAGTTGATCTGATAACTGAGCCGGCTGCTAAGTGACTAACGGTGGGTAGAGTATATAGCATGTATATGCTGGACAAGGGGATGATTCACAACCCAGGTGGGACGGAGCAGGATGGCACGAGATTTCATCATCTATCTCAGAATGGCATGCAATTTAAAACTTATGAATTGTTTATTTCAGGAATTTTCCATTTAATATTTAAGGACTGTGGTTGACTGCAGGTCAGTGAAAATGTGGAAAACAAACCACAGATGAGGGGGGACTACTGTACTATTTGTAGAATTCAGTGAACCATGCATTTTTTATCAGCACCTTTGGGTATTCACTAAATATGTGTTGTACATGTCCTGTTCCCTTTGCCTGGAGTGTTGGCTACACCTGGAAAACTCCTATTCATCCTTCAGAACCCATCTCGAGGGTCAGCTCTTCGTTTTCTTTGTTTACTGCTTCCTGGACAACAGCTAATTTATTACCTCTATGGTACTTCTGTACTTAATTCATGCCGACATTGCATTTACCCTATTGACTATAATTCCTTGTGTACAGGTCAGCCTCACCTACTAGATTACTCCGTAAATGTGTGTTGATTTAAATGGAAGGAAGAAGCAAAGTCCCCCACGTAGCAAAAGTCCCCTAAAGGTGCTCTGCAGGGGAATGAGAAATAAAGCAAGAGCAAGTGTATTGTCCAAAGTGAAAAAACTGTCTTCCATCTGTAAAATATTTTCACATCCTTTACTGAATTTTCTGAGATAGCAGAATGTTAGAACTGGAAGGGACCTCAGATTAGTGAAAAGAACATGGGCCTGAGAATAAGAACTCTTGGTGTCCCAGCCTTAGGCAAGTCACTTTAACATATTATGGTTATAGCCTCCTTATCTGTAAAATGAGGCTGTTGGACAAGATGTCTTTTCATTTCCTCATCAACATATTTTTAGTACCTACCATGTGCCAGGTGATGGGGATACACTATGAAGATGATCCTGCCCTCGTGGAGCTAACATAGCATACAAGAGACATTAAACTCATTAATTACAATTGTAAGTCCTATTAAGATGTACAGAGTGCCTGGAAATGAAATAACAGAGGGAGCTGACTTATTTTGGTTCTTGAGCAAGTAATAGTTGAATTGAGTTTTTGAAGGAAGAGTAAGAATTAAGTAGGAGAGGGTGGAGTGAGATCAGTCCAGGTAGAAGGAACAGCACATGTGAAGGCCCAGAGGGAAGAAGGACTGAAGGTCAAAATTTTGAAAGGAGGACATTGTACTAGAGAAAGTGGGCAGGAGGGAAAGCTGCAAATAATTATTTGGACCAGACCTCAGGCCATGTGAGATCTTGAATGCCCTGGTAAAGATTCAGTTTTATTCTAAGTATACAGAGTTTTAAGCACATCTCTCTAGTTGATGTGTAAGAATGGAAGTGGGGAGAGGGTGGAGAGATGAGATTTTGAGGGCTGGTTAGAAGGAAGCCATTCTAGTAGAATGTGATGGTGGCTTATACCAGGGTGATGCTAGGAGAGATAGTAAAAAATACAAGGATCTGAGAGAAATTTAGATGCAAAATTGATAGGCCTTGCCGACTTCTAATTTTGGTGTTACACAATTCCAATCTTCTCATTTGAATTTTCTCAATATACTAAAAAAAACCCAGAGCAAGTATTATTTCCATTCTGTGGGGAAAAGGGTAGGCAAAAGTCCCATTTATTGAATACTTATGGTGCAGTAGGCCCTGTTTTAGGTGTTTTAAATATGCTTTTTCATTCTCACAATGTCTCTTGAAATGAGAGGAAGAAACTGAGGCTCCAAGATGCTGTCATAAGATCACAAAGCCAGTGAATGGTGGAACTGGATTTCACCCCTGGGATCTCTTGAGTCCAAACTCATGAATTTCCCACAGTGACAGATGGGCTAGACCCTCATCCTTCTGACTTCTCTTCTGTTGCATATGTGATCAGGAGGGTTGGTCAAAGCCATTGCCTGGTTGACCTGATTTTCTGGGCTAATAAAAGTTTTTTGGTCATTGTGCCTTTGGCTGTAATTGTGTGTGTGATCTTTTATATCATTTTTTAGTTGTATGCCATTTCTCTTTACTGATAAGAATCAGTAAAATTTTAGGCCATGCTCCAAATATAAGCTGGTCGAATGTAGGCCAAGAGGGTTGTGTAGAAATTTACTTTTATAAACAGCCTAGGCAATGGCCTGATTTACCCTATTCTTTTTACAGATGAGGAAACTGAGATTTAGTATCAGTGACTTGCTTGAGGCCTGATAGTGACAGTGAGATTCATGTGGTTCAGCCCTCAAAGGCCGCTTACTGCTCACTACTAAAATAATGCATTAAAGATTCAAAAGTGTAGAGGTGGAGATTCAGTCACTTAAACCCTAAGGCACTTGCCCAAGAACACAATCTTCTCTTAAAATATACGTGGACTCCCTAGACCTCATAGGTAACCATGATGTATATTGTATACTATGCCATGTTGCTTTTAAAACCAGATCAGGTGTTTTTGGACATTAGGAAGATGTCTACCCCTCATTAACAGCAATTTTTAAAATACTGCAGAGTATATACTCCATGTAAAGGTCCCCTTTCAATTAGCTCAGACATTAATTGAGGAAAAACTTAATAACTAATCAGTCAATGGATAATAGACTTTATTTAAGAAAACGAAAGTTTCAGGGCTGTTTGGCATCCAGGATGCTAAACACTGAGAGAAAAGGTTTGAGCACAAGTGAGTTTCCTTGGTACCATTCCCCACAGTCTTCTCAAGTAATGCCTTTTTCTGCTCATGACCCTCGTCTCACTGCTTGATGTGGTCTTAGAAATTAAAGAGGATTGTGATGTAAACAAAGCTAAATATTAATGCCTTGGAGTCTTTTGACACTAGTGTGCAATAAGTTGAAATCTTATGGGAGAGGTAACTGGACCAGATAATAAACAGGATGTGATATTTAAATAAAAACACTTTTCCCCATCTAGAGTCACATACTGAGTGTTCCTCTGGCTCTCAGCTTCTTTCCTCTGACTTCTTTCTTTTATTGCCCTAATTTGGGGCAAGCACGAAAAGATGATTTCTCCATTTGTGCTTCTACTTTTCAACATGTAATGTACTTTAAGAGCCTGTGGTGAGTGATGGCATTTGAAAATGATTCAATATGGGGATTCTGTCTCAAGAAAACTTTATCCACAAATGTATGGGTCTTGTCTTTCTGTGATTCTCTTTCTGTTTTCTGCCTCTTTGTGTCCAAACCTCTCTCACTTTAATTTCATCTCCCTTAAACTAACCATAATATAGGACTAATGTATATTTTTGTTATATTTAATGTCATTTTTATTTGGGTGGAGAAGCAAAACATTTTCTATTTATATCTGTGGTTAAAGTTGATTGGCACTAAGAGACCCTAGTGTATTTTTTCAATAAGTCATTGGCCCTTGCTAGAGAAGAGACACCTACTTCTGTATTCCGAAGGATTGGAGAAATGGAATACTTTTTAAGAAACAAATTTAATGTTGGTTTGTTAACACTAAACAGGAAGGAGGGAAAGAATTTGTCTCTAAATTTTGTGAATGATTTTCTTTCTATACAGAGGGTGGCAAAAAAATGTATACACATTTTGAGAAAGGAATACTGTATTAAAATTGTAGTACTCATTATATACTAATAACAAAAGATGAATACAAGTCACGTTTGATTTCTGCAATATAAGAGGTGCTCAAAGTGGTTACCATCGGAGTCCAGAAACTTCTGATTACAGCAAACTACTGCTTTAGCAACGTTGACCAGAGTGTCCACGTGTATACATTTTTTTGGCACCCCGGTATTTGTCAAACATTGAAAGAATAAGATTGCTCCAAGCCTGATTAGGAGAGGTGCAATGCTAACAAACATAAGAACTTTAAAATACTACAGTTTTGCTTTAAATTCCACAATAGTTTCCTTTCTCCCTTCAGAAAAGCGTGTTTGGAAATGGGAGTGTGTTTCAGAAATTTAATTCCCACAAATCATTTAAAAGCTTTAAGTCCCTAGAACTTTGGAAATTCTTTGTTTTAAAGGTCGAAATAAGCCTGACAGTGTAAATTTAATATGCTGGTTGTGTAACCTGATTAATGATACCCATCAGTTGCAAAAGAGAATTTATATAATTTCGAAATCATAGGCTTGGTTATATTTTAGAACATCAGATCTTTCTTTGCCAAAGTCACAGTAACTACTAAGATTTGGCATCCTTTCTGTCTATATGCCTCCCCACCCACTCCAAAGCATTGAGAGAGAAAGACATTGAGTAGTAACTGACCACCAGACACTAATTTCTCTTGATTCCTGACTTAAAGAGAAAGGACAATATTTAAATTTGCTCTCTTACTCTTCCCTTTCTTTGTTTTCTTTTCTTCCTCAGTAGACAATATTGCAAGTTTTTATTTAACTATTGAATCTTTTATAAAAGGACTTCCAAGTTTGCTAATATTTTTCCCGAGGTAGTCTTCTCATTAAAATAATTCTTTTTCTAGGATAGTTTCTGTTTTGGGGGCTCCAAATATTCCACTGTGTTCTGTTCTATCCTGTTCTATTTGCTCTTATCATTGAAAAATAGACGTTTCTGAGTAACTGAGCATTAACTTTACATCATTTTTGGTAGGACCAAAGAAGTCCTCCCTAGGAGGTTTTTTTTTTTTTTTTTAACCAGTGCTTAAACATTTACATGTAGGAGAATTCAGTCTTGTATCTGGACAATTTTTGCTACAAGGTTATTTTGAAAGACAAAAAAATAACATTGGAATTAAAGGTGTCTGATTGCTTTTATTAAGCATCATAAATCCAAAAGATACACAATCATAAATAGAAAAAGAGTATCTTTTTTTTTTTTTAAAGCTGAGCCATCCTGCCACCTCTTGGCAGCTCAGCGGCAGCTCAGCTTGGGCCAGGAATCGAACCAGTGACCCTGTTGCTAAGAGCTCGAGCTCGCACTCTTGAGCGAGCTCTTAACCAACTGAGCCACTCAGCCAGCCCTCATTAGTATATTTTTAAAATGACAAAACTTAAGTTGCTTTTTGAATCACCACACATCAAGGAAGGCTGAGATTATGAAATACAGATAAGAAATTCAACAAATGGAAGAAATTATATCTGTGAAAAGACACATAATAAGGCAATTTGTAAAGGACTTTAAAATAAGTATGTTTCCTAACTTCAGAGAGGTACAAAAAGGACCTTCATCAATGAAACAAGAATAAGAAGTTTAGGGCCGGCCGAGTGGCGCCATGGTTGGGAACTGGCTTGGGACGCTGGAGGGCCCCGGTTCGGATCCCACATATGAGGGCCAGTGACACTGCCCTCTCTCTACAGCTAAGATGCTGAACAACAGCTCAACCTGGAGCTGGGCTGCCATGAGTCGCTGGTGACGGCGTAGGCTGCAGCCCCTGTGGCAGTGGGTTGCCATGGGCTACCATATGTAGCCAGCAGCCAGTGTGAGCGGCCAGCAGCC